TGGACACGCATCGTCCCTGTCCCCTCAGCCTCTTCCCTCCGGGCAGCAGTAACAGAAGTGGAAAATTGAACACTCCGGGTGCAGAGTGCCCGCTGTCAGAAGGACCTTGTTGGGCCAGCCACCCAACCACCCTCTGAAACGGGTGGAACCACCTGGCCGCTGGCTGGGCTCACAGACATCGCATGGGAATGGGTCCTGTGTGTTAGCTTGCCTGGGCTTCCAAACCACAGAGACTGACTTCCCACAGCCCTGGAGGCGGGAAGTCCAAGATCAAAGGGAGGGTGTCTTCCGAGGCCTCTCTCTTGGTGTGTAGACAGCTGTCTTCTCCCCGGTCCTCATGTGGTCAACCCTCTGTGTGTGTCTGTGTCCTGATTCCCTCTTTTCACGAGGACGGTGGTCTGATTAGGACCCACGTGCATGACCTCATTTTACCTTAATCACCTCGGTAAAGGCTCATCTCCAAGTACGGTCACATCTGAGTGCTGGGGTGGGGCTCTGGTGCATGGATTTGAGGGAGGGGTGCACAATTCAGGCCTAACACCTTGTGTGGTCATTATTTTAGGGAAGTGAAAGTGAAAGTGTTAGTCGCTCACTGGTGTCTGACTCTTTGCGACCCCATGGGCTGTAGCCCGACAGGCTCCTCTGTCCATGGTCTTCTCCGGGCAAGCATACTGGAGTGGGCTGCCATTCCCTTCTCCAGGGGATCTTCCCAACCCAGGGATCGAACTCAGGTGTCCCACATTGCAGGTGGATTAGTTATCATCTGAGCTACCAGGGAAGCCCAACTTCAGGGAAAAAGAAAAGTGTTTGTCGCTCAGTCGTGTCCAACTCTTTTTGACCCCATGGACTGTAGCCCGCCAGGCTCCTCTGTCCACGGAATTCTCCAGGCCAGAACACTGGAGGGGGTTGCCATTTCGTTCTCCAGGGGATCTTCCCAACCCAAGGATTGAACCCGGGACTCCCGCATTGCAGGAGGATTCTTTACTGTCTGAACCACCAGGGAAGCCCTACTCTAGGGAAGGAGGACATCAAATCCGAGACACAGGAGCAGTCTGGCCACAAGGGAGCCCCGGGACCCCAAGTCCTCCTTGCCGAGCACCCCCTCTTCAAAGGACCCCGAGGCTGCTTCTCCCCACGGGCCGCCACTCCCACACTGACTCCCTCCTGCATTTCCCCTCCTCTAAGTTCCCGTGCAAGGCCTGCATCCGCTCCCTGAATGACCAGGGCTGGGCATGACCATCGCTGCTTCCCTGGCCAAGATCAGAGCTCATGTTCACGAGGCCCGTACCCAGTGTTCTGTCGTGAGAGGCATGATTTTCTACATGGGAGTGGAAGTGCACACCCTGAGAAAAACCCTCAGTTACTGAGGCTGACAAGCGAGGAGCAGCTCTGGAAGCAGCATCTGTTCATTTAACAGGGCCGGAGGGGAACAGCGGCTTTGGCTTTTCTTTTCCTTGTGATGATTTTTAAAGAATTTCCACCGCAAGGATATTACAAGGTGAAAAATGGGTTTTTCCCTGGCGAGAGGGCTCCACCATGCCATACTGCACTCCAGCATTGCTCTCAGGTGGTTTGCACGCCCTGCCTGCTGTAGGCAGGATGCTTTGGTCCTCAGTGTGAGGGACGTGTCCACTCCTCCACTCACCTCTCCCTCCACGGAGCACCTCACGGGCAGGGCCCTGTGAGGAGCTGAGCTAGGAGACCATCCCTGGTCATGGATCCAGGCAGGAGGCACCCCCACCCAGGGCAGAAACCCCTGCCTCCTGCCGTGGGTCTGGGCTGACCGGGAGCCGCAGGCAGCCAGTAGTGGAGCTGGAAAGGTGGGTGGGGGTCAGCGTGGGCTCAGAGCAACAGCACAAGCCCAGGGTGGAGACAGGATGGATGGCCCACATCTCATCCAGGAAGGGGGAGCAGCCCCACTTGATGGAGCGACAGGGACCACAGCTGCGTGCGCCATCACTGGGTAGTGGCCCGTAGGCCCTCCTTCCTTCAGCAGCATCCAGCGCCACCCNCCTCCCACCCATCCATTCATCCCCCCACCCACCCACTCACTCCCCTACCCATCCACCCATCCACACCTCCCTCCAGGGCTTGCCTAGCACTTCCCCTGTGTGTGGCCTTGAGCCGGGAGCTGGAAACAGATGCTTCAGACCTAGTCCCTGACCTCAAAGAGCTTCCAGGCCAGTGGGAAGACTGACTACAAAGCAGTCAGTGCTGTCCGGGGCCCAGGATGTGTGAGCAGCCGTGTGTCATGCAGTACCTTCTGGCAGATGAGGGACAGTTCAGCAGGACGAGGGACAGGCCAGCCCGGCTCAGACACCAGGTGGGAAGCGAGTCTGCTGCCAGCAGCACCCCTGGGGCCACACACAGGCCGCCGGCTGGTCAGGGGACTGGGGATGAGCCAAGGGAGGATGGAGGGAGCCAGGCTCAGAGTAGGGCCCGGCGGCCATTCTGCGGAGGGCACGCCAGGGGGGCAGCCAGCAGCGGGCAGCACAGGGAAGGGGTGAATCGTCCACAGGGCCCCTGGCCCTTGACGGCCAGCTGTTGAGGGCCCTCACACATGAAGACCACGTGCCCAGGGCCCCCCCCGGCAGGCCCAGCTTCTGTGCAGCTCAGGGTTTGCAGAGAAGGGCTGGCCTGGAGCCCCGCGAAGCTCCTCCTATGGCCCCACTGTTCCCGGGGCAAGACCCTCCACCCAGGCCAGAGGGCTGGGGGCCGAGGCCAGAGTCGGTTCCAGGCACACACAGGCTGGGGGCACCGCTCCTGGTCAGTCTCCATCCTCCACCTTAGCTTCTTTGTAAGGCCACAGGACGGTCCCCCCCGAAAGGGTGCGGGGGCCGAGGCGCTTCAGCCAAGATGGGCCCAATCCCACAGCAGAAGCCTGGCCAGAGCTAGGGTTCGTCAGGAGGAGGGACGGGGCAGGAAACCCACAAGGTGGTGGTCCCATCCCACCACGTGATGGGACCCAGGTCTCCTGGGTCCCGACTGAGGGCCTGGCCCAGCTCTGCCGCTCCCTGGCCTTCTGGTCCACGGCAGTGGTTCAGCCTCTCAGGGTCAGTTTTCCTGTCTATAAAATGGGCACAGTACAACTCCTCTCACACAGGGCCTTGTGAACAATGAACAAAAAGGCCTAGCAAGTGTTAAGTGCTCCTTAACCTTAAGCGGTGAGTGGTCCTTAATCTTAACCTGCCAGCCACTCGGATGCTTCTGGCGGGGGTGTGTGCACCCCTTTCCTGGGCATGAAGATTGAGGCCTGGGAAGTTAAGGAACCACACACATAATTCTACCTATGTAATTCAGTCTTTAAAAGCCAATTTTTTTTTTAAGATGATTGTTTTTTGATGTGGACTATTTTTAAAGTCTTTATTACATTTGTTATGTAGGTTGGTGAAAAAGTAGCTGCAATTTTGAACCATGAATTTTAAATCATCATAACTAGGTTCAAACACATCTTAATTAATCATTAATACGAACCATTATAATCAACATATTTTTGCCAATAAGAAGTAACTTTTTTTATTCCTGTAGCATAAAAATCTGTGCTTCAGGATTTGACGAACTCTCGGAAAGCATTTTCTGCCTCCGCTGGTTGTGGAAGCGTTTTCCCTGCAAAAAGTTGTCAAGGTGCTTGAAGAAGTGATAGTGGGCTGGCGAGAGGTCAGGTGAATATGGCAGATGAGGCAAGACTTCGTAGCCCAATTTGTTCAGCTTTTGAAGCCCTGGTTGTGCGATGTGCGGTCAGGTGTTGTCGTGGGGAAGAACTGGGCCCCTTCTGTTGACCAAGGCCGGCTGCAGGCACTGCAGTTTTTCATCAATTCGCTGAGCGTACTTCTCAGGTGTAACATTTTCACCAGGATTCAGAAAGCTGCAGTGGATCAGACCAGCAGCAGACCACCAAACAGTGACCATGACCTTTGTTTGGTGCGAGTTTGGTTTAGGGAAGTGCTTTGGAGTTTCTTCTCGGTTCAGCCACTGAAACTGGTTGTCGCCGGTTGTATAAAATCCACTTTTCATCATATATCACAATCCAGTAGAGAAACGGTTCATGGTTGTTGCATAGAATAAGAGAAGACAACATCTCAAAAACTGTTTTCTTGATTTGCGGTCAGTTCACCAGGCACCCACTTATTGAGCTTTTTCACCTTTCCGATTTGCTTCAAGCGCCGAATGACCATAGAGTAGCATTGAGTTGACATTGACATCAACTCATTGACACTGAGTTATCTGACAGCGTCAGTTGGAAGATCAGCTCCAATGAGTCAGACATGACTTAGCATCTGAACAACAGCATAATCTAACCACATTTATTTAAGAATGTATTCCAGTATCAAACAGCTGAGCTCAACAGTGCAAAACCACAGGTTACTCTTGCACCAACCTCAATACAATGTGACTTCCGTTTTATGTTTTGGTTTTTTTGGCTAGGAGGCATGTGGGATCTTATCTCCCTGACCAGGGGTTGAACTTGTACCCCTTGCCCAGCATTGGAAGGTGAAGTCTTAACCACTGGACCACCGGGGAAGGTCCTAAAAAAATAATTCTTTCTCAGGCCCTTCACGTGCTCAGAGGTTTTCTGGGCTCTTTTGGAAAATAAGTGCCACCTTTGTTCAGTACCAGCGTGTTCCATGGGCACCTCGGCAGGGTGGGGAGTGCAGGGGGCTGCTGATGACAGAGGTCCTGAACCTCCTGGAGATCAGAAGCTGGGGGGGAGCGGGAGACGGAGAGAGGGCCCACCCACCAGCCGTCGTCCTGACCTGGGACGAAGGAATCATGGGTGGAGGTGGCCATCAGCCTCCTCCATCAGGCCCCGCTGTCCGCAGGGCACTCGGGCCTGAGGGTGGACAGTGTGCAGAAGCGTGGGACAAACCCCACACAGGGGCAGGCAGCCTGGGAGCTCCACTTCCTAGAGAAACAAACTCGTTCAAGTAACAAAGTGACGACGTAATGCGCATACAACAGGGAGGTCAGGACGTAAGGATGACCAGATCCTCAAATCATTATGCACTTTTTTCCCCCCTTTGGAAACATTTCTTTAATGGAAACTTCTAGTTCCACATAAGAGAGTAAGAAAACTGATTTTATTTTCCTTCAAAATCTTCAGCTATGCCATTCGGGTGGTCCACAGCGCAAATTAGTAAAGTTATGATATAATTTAATGACATGAGAAAGTCAAACCAGGGTGAAAAAAGAGTCGGATTGGCATCGTTCAGGGCTTAGTGAAGCAAAGTCTTGGAAGAAATCTCAGATGAAGGCAAAAGATCACCTGGCCAGAAAAATCCCAGATTACAAGCAGTCAGCTTCATAATCAGCATATGAAAACAGAATTATGCTAAAGCTCTAATTATCCAAAAGTGTTCAGTCTCTCAGGAAGACATGATCCTATATATAAACTTTGTTTTCACCCAGCAAATCAGGATGACCCAAATCAGTCCTACCCTTTGGAGGTTACCCGTCCTGCTAGGACTCGGGGCGGCGGGCGGGGGCCAGGCCAGGATCAGCCGGTCCAGCCCTGGACTCAACAGGACAAGCCGCCAGGAAGAACTGCGGGTCTGGGGCTTCCAGAAGTGAACCTGAGGTCCAGGTCCTCATGGCTTCGCCAGATTTAGCCGGTTCGACTACAGCTTTGATTTCAAACTTCCTATGACGGGCTTGTTGACCGCGAATTCTGACCACCATGATGCCCTCTCCAGCACCTTGCTTCCCTGAAGGACGGCAGTCCAGAGGTTTTTATAGAGCTGTTAAAAAATACATGATATACACAGATGGAATAAGAAAGACTCTGAGCATGTCAATGCAACTGTGCAAAACACGAAGCGCCGTCACTTCCTGGAAGCGTCTGAAGATGATTTAAATTCAATTTGCATAAGCCCTTTCTTTGTCAGCAGAGGAAAACTGGGAAAATACAACGATCAAGGTCCCTGATGTACATGGCCCTGGTGGTTCAGACGGTAAAGCGCCTGTCTATCCACGCGGGAGACCTGGGTTCGATCCCTGGGTTGGGAAGATCCCATGGAGAAGGAAACGCCAACCCACTCCAGTACTCTTGCCTAGAAAATCCCATGGACGGAGGAGCCTGGTGCAGGCTACTGTCCATGGGGTCGCAAAGAGTCGGACACGACTTAAGCGATTTCACAGAATGTACACTTACGTTGAAAACATCCTGCTTGGCCTTCTCTTTGGAAATTCTCACGGAAGGTGGATCCTGCAAGTTGACTCTGATCATCTGCTCTGAAATCTGTCCTTCTGCAGCCAGGCGGCTGGCGCGTGGTGGCACAGCCAAGCAGCAGCCTGATGGCTGGTCCTCTGGGCCCCCGGGCCTGGGCAGGCCTGGTCCCCTCTCTGCCCACCCCGCCAGACTGAGCCCCCTAGGCCGGCCAGCTGCCGCCTCCGGGCCCCCAGGCTGGACTGCTCTCATTAGTCATCCTAGAGGAAGGTCGTGAGCGTGCAGGCAGTCGCCTGACCGGTCCCTGCTCCCAGCACGGCCAGCATCCAGGCCGAGGTCCACGGAGGCAGGAAAGGAGCCAGTTTTACATCTGGCTGACGTTGACAGGTGTCACTTTCAAGAAGCTGCCCTCTCTCCGCACCTGCTAAACGTGCTCAGCGATTCCACCCACGCGTACTGCTATTCCCAGTTCCCAGGGAAAAGCAGACGAGGCTCTCTCCCCGCAGGTCATAAATCCGAGGTGACACCACACAACCTGGATGCGGCGCTTCCCTTAAAGATGGCCTCGGCCTCTGACAGCTGTGTTTGTCCGTCTAAAATGGATTTCCCACCTCATAGTACCCGGTGCAGACCTTAGCCCGTAACACTGGGAGAGACACGCACCGCGTAAATCCTGCCGGGCAAGGCCCGGGGCTGCTCTGGTCTCAGTGTGGAGTCCAGGGCCCCACCTCAGGCCAGGGCAGGATGGCATGGCCTCCCCTACTCCACAGTTGCCTGCCTGCCCGCCCATGAATCAGGGCTGCCGCCTGCCCGTACGGGGCTAGCGCTGCCGGGAGCCCATGTCCCAGAGGCCAGCTCCCCGCCCGTGGGCTGGTCAGCACATCCTCCTCATGCTCCTGCTGGGCCCCGGCCACACCAGAGACCAAGGTTCACACTCTCCCGCCTTCCCTCCAAACAGTCCATCTTTGCCGCCTCCCAGCTGGGCCAACTCAGGCCACCTGCCTGGTCCTCCTGGAGGCTGGGTCTCTCCCTGGCAAAGCGGCCTCCTCGAGGGAGATGCCTGGCCCAGCTCAACAGCCAGAGGATAGCCGGCCCTCCCCAGACGTGTGGTCCCTGCCTTCCTGACTCGATGGGGGGGCTCTTCTGATCTGCCCAACCCAGCGCCTGCACTTCCATCCCAACCCTGGGGGTGGCTTGGGCTGGGCAGAGGTCCAGGCATCTGCCCCCTGGACCAACGGCAGTGTCTCCTGAGGACAGAAGGTTCCTGTCCCCTTGGAATGTCCCCTGGGGACAGAGAGAAGGTGCTCGTCCCCTGATGTTCAATCTCCTGGGTCAGCAAGGTAAGCCTCAGGAGAAATAGCATGATAGCCATGGGCCCTCACCACGTGACTTTAACACTGACATGCCACGTCTCCACGGAAACAGTCTCCATGGAAACATGGGGACAATCACCCACGGGTGGTGGGGAGCTGGGAGTGCTGAGCAGGCCCGCGGGCGCCATCCCGCACAGGCCTCTCCACGTGGTGGAGGTCACACCAGGCTGCCCGTGGGCTTGGAAAGGAGAATGGCGAGGCTTACACCACAGGACAAAGTGGGGGACCCACCTGCCAGGGGAAGAGGGGGGACGCTTCACCTAGAAGCTGGAGGAGGCCTCCCAGAAGAACGGCATTCCACTCAGAACGAGCAGAAGTGCTCCCGAGTAGCGGGGAGCACAGTCCACTCGGAACGAGAAGTGCTTCCGAGTAGCGGGGGGCACAGTCCACTCGGAACGAGCAGAAGTGCTCCACAGTAGCGGGGGGCACAGTCCACTCGGAACGAGCAGAAGTGCTCCCGAGTAGCAGGGGGCACAGTCCACTCAGAACGAGCAGAAGTGCTCCCGAGTAGCGGGGGGCACAGGTGCAAAGGCCCTGGGGTGGCAGTGAGCCCAGTACAATAGAGAAGCAGAAGGACAGTGAGGCTGGAGTCTGGAGGGTGGGAGGAGGTGTGTGATGACCCCGCAGAACCAGGCAGAGGTCAGCCACAGGGGCGGGCGGGAGCGGGGAGGGATCTGGTACTGCTTTGGTGTGGGGGACTTCGGGGCAGCTTGAGAAGCAATCGTTCTGGAGCATGGGGAGGGTGGGGGCAAGAGAGGAGCTCGGGCAGCCACCTGGGGGCTGCCCTGGAAGCCCAGGTAGAGGGGTGAGGGGGTCAGAAGACCCAGGAGTGGGGCGGGCCCTCAGGAGAGTGTGCAGAGACCACAGCTTTGCACAGGCCCACGCTGACCTTGGTGTTGCGGCCTCCTAAGAGAGTGGCGGGGCCACTCTGTCTCTCAGGGAAGGGCAGGCTGGGGGGCGGCTGACCCGTCCACGACCAACCCAACTTCTCCCAGCCACTCCCTCCCCGCTGGCCACGTGATGCTGGAGACCACCCCCCACCCCGCCCCGAGCCCTGTCGCCATCTCAGCTCTGCCATGACTGCCCTGGGGCCCAGAGTGCCTCCTGCTGCCCACGGGAAGAAGGCTGCTCTTCATACCTCGCCATCAGCTCTGCCAATCGGTGAGTCCAGGATGAAGTCTGGAGGGGCGATGACGTCCACCAGGGCAACAGCATCATCTTTCAGCTGTTAGAAAACAAAGTCCGTACCCTTGGCAACACCCGGCATCTCCATGGCAACCACCAAGCAACAGAGCCTGCAACCCACGAGCAATGGTAACCCCAGCAGGCGCAAGGCTCCATTCCTCAGGCGTCATCTTTTCACGGGCCTGGGTTACAGGTTCCCCAAGTGTGCGTCTGAATATTTTCACCATGTTGCTATCCACTCAAGACTTCCAACATTTTCTTTTTTTTCCAACATGGTAGGGACTGCTCGTAAAACTGATGATTCTGTGGCTCACTAACTGGCAACTGTCTTCAGAGGTTTGTCTCTGAACCCTGACTGATCGGGGCAATTACTGTTCCAACAGAGGGAAATATGTCCAGAAAAAAAAAAAAGTAAGAGTAAAAGCATTTATAAGCCCCTGGAAAAGCCATCATCCCAATGTGCTTTGGTTCACGGTAGTTTTATTACTCTCCCATCCCGTTACACAAATTATTCTACAATATGACAAGTGGAATTCATATGAGTAGACTCCTAAGAATTTTCTTGAAATGCAAAAATACATTTTTTACTTAAAATAATTGTGAAATGCCATATGCGGTATGTGTGCTTAGTCACCCAGCTGTGTCCAACGCTTTGTGACCCCGAGGACTAACAGTTCGCCAGGCTCCCCTGGCCTGTGGAATTCTCCAGACAAGAATTCTACAGTGCGTAGCCATCTCTTTCTCTAAGGGATCTTCCCGACCCAGGGATCGAACTGGGGTCTCCTGCATCGCAGGCAGATTCTTTACCGTCTGAGCTACTGGGGAAGCACAAAGATAAAACAGAGGACAGCAGGCCTGAACGGGGACTTGAACCCCGGACCCTCAGGTTAAGTCTGGTGCTCCACTGACTGAGCTATCCAGGCCCCGGGGCTGAACTGAACACAGGAGCCAGGGTGACTGAAACAAGGCCGATTAAAACAATTGTTGGGCAGAGAGTCACGAGAGGAGAGGAGCCCAGCTTCGTGGCTCAGGCGCTGCTCCATAGTCCCACACACCCTTGGCACCGAGGTCCCAGGGGGTCGGGGGTATGAGCCTGCCCTGCTTCAAGGAGAAACAATAGTAGAGCAAGGTCCTGCCCTAGACCGGGAGTTGGCCAGCGTTTCATGCAGGGGGCCCATGGGAAAGAGCCTGTCTTTGCGGGCTGTGGGGTCACTGTCTCAGCAGAGGTGAGCGTGAGACAGCGAGGACACCCCGACAGACGATGTTGCTCCAGGCCCGGGCTGGAGCAGGGAAGGAGCCCCCATCCCCCCGAGTCAGGACCAGGACTCAGATCCACCAGGCAGCTTGGGCCCAGGTACTGCCCCTCCACCCTACCCCAGCCACCAGCTCCAAGGTCTAAGTGTCACGTTGCAGAGCAAGGGAAACGACTGCTGTTATTTTTTATAAAGGCAACTCACCCCCACAAAACACAAGAGGGAAAACCCCCCTCCTGTTTAAGTCGACATGGCCAGAGCAGACGGAATGACCCCAGAGACACCCTTACCCTGAACCCACGTAGGGAGAGAGAGGCTTGATGCCAACAAGGACATCACCCGGAGCTGCCTCAGCTCGGAAGCACAGAGAGGAGCCCAGCGGCCCCTCATCCGTCAATGGAGACACTTGTGTACATATATCTGCTGTGTACACCACAGACATATCACGGACAGAGTGCTGTGGGGCTTTGGTTCATGTCTGATCACCCAGAGCAGAGAAGCGCCTCCAACTGCACTGCTTAATCCAGCAGCCAGCACACACACTGACGGTTGAATTAAAACTAAAGATAACCCCAAATCCTCGCTCACGCCCGCTGCGGTTCCACCACCGGCAGCCCCACATGGCCGGCGGCAACCGCACGGGAGAGCACGGCCCTGGAACCTGTCCCTCCCTGCACGAAGCTCCAGTGGACAGAGCACCAGCAGGACACGACGTGGGGCCACCTGACTCCTCTGGGTGATGAAGGCAGAAGGACGCAATAAAAAACCAAAGAAAATGCCACGAGATGATTTTAAATTGGAGGCTAACTTGAAAGGCCTGAAGCAATGGTCGAAGTCGCTGTAGAAAGCGTTAGAATGAGCTGGATGTGTAGGGGCCCCTGAGAGTGGCGCTTCCTGACCTTTCTGCCATAAGCACATTCTCTCTAGTTTTCTGGGGTGTGCCAATGGAGGCACTGCTTTGGCTCAGTGGACATGAGCTTGGGTAAACTCCGGGAGTTGGTGATGGACCGGGAGGCCTGGCATGCTGCCATCCATGGGGTCACAAAGAGTCGGACACGACTGAGTGACTGAACTGAAAGGTGACACACACACCAATGAATGGGAGGCCAAGGTCACCGGACAGTAACATACATGTCATCACATGTAAATCACATACGGACACAAGGGGTCACAACTCACCTGCGCACACAGGGCCAGGACTGCGCTCTCCATCGCTTTGCCCGCACGTTCACCAGACAAGTACCCACCTGGAAGCACAGTGTGGTGACTCCGGGGTCCGGGACCCTCACCCCCAAGGATCAGTCGCTCAGTCGGGCCCGACTCTTTGGGACCCCATGGATTGTAGCCCGCCAGGCTCCTCTGTCCGCGGAGTCCCCCAGCCAAGAATACTGGAGTGGGCTACCATTCCCATCTCCAGGGGATCTTCCCGACCCAGGGATCAAACCCGGGTCTCCTGCACTGCAGACAGATTCTTTACCATCTGAGTCACTGGGGAAGCCCTTTAAACCCCCAAGTTACCCACAAATAGCGCACACATCATGAAACAGCCCATTCTGTGTGAAGACGTCTCGCTGCCTCTGTGACCACCTTTAAAGAAAGGTGAGGCTGGGCCTGGGGTCCCTGTCCTCCTCCCTGCCGGTTCACTGAGCAGGTGCTGCTTGTGGGGGGAGGGGGTCACAGCCGGGAGCTGGGGATGCTGAAGCTCAGGAAGGGCGGCCACAGGGGGCCAGGGGGTAGGAGGAGGCAGGGCTGGCGGGCTGGGGCCCACGGGAATGGACAAGACCCCAAGCAGAGCACTGGGCGGGGTGGCGAGGGCTGCAGGCTCAGAGCGGCGCCTGGGGGCACGTGGGGGTGTCTGCAGTCACCAGGCAACTGGCCGGAGAACCGCCCCCTTGGCCTTGCCTCCCACACCCACGCACACTGTGTTATGCTGTCTCACAGGCTCAAAGAGGGAGCCCCAAGTCTGCTGCAGAACTGGCTGCTGTCTGATCTTTGCCATAGAGAACAGCGCCTGCTCACTCAGAGGGTGGGCTCCTGCCTCCGCACCCCACTGCTCCCACCAGGGAGCCCTTGTATACCTTGGCTGGTAAAGAATCTGCCTGCAATTCGGGAGACCTGGGTTCGATCCCTGGGTTGGGAAGATCCCCTGGCGAAGGAAATGCCTACCCACTCCAGTATTCCGGCCTGGAGAATTCCATGGACTGTAAAGTGTATGGGGTCGCAAAGAGTTGGACACGACTGAGTGACTCAAAAAAGGGGGGGGGGGGCGGGCAACACTGGCCCCAAGGAGGAAAATGTGGGTTCTCTTCAAGGGGAGGGGAAAACGTACTCCTGGGACAGCACAGATACACGCCTGGGGCATGAGGAGGTACACAGGACAGCTCTAGTATTAACATGTCATGGGGATGCTTTGGGAAAACATCTAAAAAATGTTCCTTAGAAAGATAGTGAAACAAAGTTTGAAAAAAAAACTCAGGTTTATCCCGTTTCCACCCATCTTCCAGGATCAGCCCTTTCATCACCTCCTCCAGGAAGCCCTCCCGGGTTGCCCACCACGGCTCAGCCCTACGGGCACCACCCTGGTGCTGCCGTGCCCCCTGTTGGTCCCCCCCCGCCCCCGCCATGGCCTCTGGGCTCATCTGCTCCCCGTGATGAGCCTCAGTAAGCCGCGCGGAAGGAGCGCCCCACGCGCTCCGGAGCGGGGTCTCACCTCGGTAGAGCAGGGCGGTGTGCTGGCTCAGGGACCACACGGCGTAGAGGGCGCTGAGCCGCCGCAGCACGGCCCGCAGCGGGGGCGGCACGCCGGGCTGGTGCGCGTGCTCGTGGAACCTGCGCACGACCGTGAGCTCCAGGAACGCCAGGGCCAAGGGCCGGCAGTGGTATACCTGCAACAGGGCGCGGCGCAAGCGTTCGGGAGGCACACCGGGGTCTGCGCCCCGGCAGCGCCCGGGCAGCGGGCACAGCCAGCCGGGGCTGGGCAGCGCCTCCGGGGAAAGGCCGGCAGGGACGCGAGCCCGCCTGCAGCCGCTGCTCTGGACCTCGGGCCCAGCGACCGTGCTCCGCTTAGCGCCGTCTGGGGCCTCGGTGACCCCACAGCAGACACACAGCCGCCACGGGATCGCCCAGGTCATCCTGGCACTAGGGACTGGGGCGTCCCCTGGGTGGTGGGATCCCAAAAGGCACAAGGTCGGTTCTCTTGCACTGGGAACCACAGAGAAGGTTTCCCACATGCTCCCTGGACTCACCTTGAAGCAACCTCAGCCCCTCCCGGGGCCTGGCTCCGCCCGCGCCCCCCAAGTTTCTCAAGGAAACAGCCCCTCTCTCCCACTCCCATCACATCCGAAACTGAGGGAAGGGCTTCACCGGGGGGCCAGCCGGGTTGCACTCGCGTGTGAGTCCCGATGCTGGCTCGGTTTGTGGAAGCAGGAAGTCACCATGGGTCTTCTGGCCCGGGCTTTTTCTCTTTTAACCAATAGCCAACACATCTGCTGCTCATCATTAGCTTTGCTTGTCAGCTTTTCTTTCCCCATCTCTAGTTTATCAGTTTACTGGGTTTTTTTTAATTAAAACAATTACACATGCATTCCTCATTTGTTATAATGAGCATGTGTTGCTTTCGAAATTAAATAATCCAGCAAAGAGGTGACCCGGGATAGGGGAGGGAAGAGACCCCTATTCAATGTCTGCATGAATTTGCCCCAGAATTCCTTGGTGGCTCAGACAGTAGAGAGTCCACTTGCAATGCAGGAGACCTGGGTTCAATCCTTGGGTCAGGAAGACCCCCTGGAGAAGGGAATGGCTACCCACTCCAGTATTTTTGCCTGGGGAACTCCAGGGACAAAGGAGCCTAGTGGGCTACAGTCTATGGGGTCGCAAAGAGTTGGAAGCGACTGAAGCGACTAAGCATACACATGCATCAGCCAGAATCCACAGGGCAGGGTCCAGAATATGCTCCGGGGAGGCAGGGGGCGTGGTTGCCAAGTGGGGCACGGTTCTGAGCTCAAGGCCTCCTCTTGACTTTCAGAGAAAGCAATGGGTCCTCACTTCCGAGGCCAAGGCTCCCCCAGGGTCTGCCTGAGAACCAGGCACCCTCAGGAGGGAATTCAGGGGAGGATGTTCCCCGGCCTCATGCCAGTCTGCCTGGTCTGATCCGAAGACCCCGCTGCGCCTCTGACGCCACCAGGTCACACGGCCTGCATCCCCGCGTCCTGCCTGCAGGGCCAGCCGGGCCTTCAGAGCAGCTGCCCTCTCATGCTCGCCGTGTGGTGGTGTCCTTGACTTTGGAGGGAGAGAGACCCAGAGAGGGGGCACTCACGGGGGGGAAGCCGACGAAGCTGATAATGGAGGCGGGTGGGGAGTGCCCCCCACAACACGGGCTAGGCACTAAGCTAAGAGCCCCCCCAAAGGCATCACCTCAATCTGCCCTGGACCCCGAGGGTGAAACAAGTTCACGCCATCGGCGACTGGTGGAGACACACTCGGCGCAGGAAGGCCGGCCCCCGTGTGCGCCCTCAACCTCTCCATGAGCGGGTGTCACTGAATGGACCCCCACCCCCCAACGTGCCCGAGAGCTGTGGGCTCCTCTCCACTTGGGGAGATTCTCCCTGCGAGTCCCAGCCCAGGACCGAGTCCAAACTCTGCCCTCCTCTGCTCGCTCCTTCTCAACCACGTGAATTTTCTAGAGTCAGTCATGGTGTGTTCGTCCTATCTTTCCATGAAGGCAGCACACGGGTCAGTTTCAGCCACAGCATCGGCTGGTGCGGGCCTGGAAACGTGGCCCCACCTCTGACGTGGCCACCCTAAAAACGCATCCTGCGTCCTGCTGTGCTCTGAGTCCCCAGTGGACCAGCTCAGGGCCCGGCTCTCGGAGTCGAGGGGCCAGCTTCCGAATCCACTCAGCTTTTACGAGCGTGTGCGCACAGTGGGATGGGAGCAAGTGGCTCCCATCCTGGCCCGAGCTTCTTGGTCTGTGAAGAGGAAGCAGGAAGGAGCCGGCCTGTGGGCGCTGCCGTGAGGAACAGCAGACGGAACCTCACGTGTCCAGCGCCTGCATCGCATCCCATGAGCTCCTCTTCCCGGTCTCAGTCCCCGGAATCAGGCCCACATGGTGGACCTGGACCGTCACAGGGACCCAGGAAGGCAGTGTGTGGAGGGCCTGGACGGTCACACGGGTCCACAGTGCGTGGAGGGCCTGGATGGTCACAGGGACCCAGAAAGGCAGTGCGTGGAGGGCGTGGACCGTCACACGGATCCACAGTGCATGGAGGGCCTGGACGGTCATAGGGACCCAGGAAGGCAGTGCGTGGAGGGCCTGGACCGTCACACGGGTCCACAGTGCATGGAGGGCCGGGACGGTCATAGGGACCCAGGAAGGCAGTGCGTGGAGGGCCTGGACCGTCACACGGGTCCACAGTGCATGGAGGGCCGGGACGGTCATAGGGACCCAGGAAGGCAGTGCGTGGAGGGCGTGGACCGTCACACGGGTCCACAGTGCATGGAGGGCCTGGACGGTCACACGCATCCACAGTGCGTGGAGTGCTTGGACCGTCACACGCATCCACAGTGCGTGGAGGGCCTGGACCATCACAGGGACCCAGGAAGGTGGTGCGTGGAGGGCCTGGAGGGTCACAGGGACCCAGGAAGGCAGCCACACCAGGCCACGGGCACAGAGGAAGTGTCTAAAGGGAGACACGGCAGAACGGAGATTCCCGGAGCCACAGAGAGTGGACCTGCTCCCCGGCAGCTCCCCGCTCCAGACCGGAGGCCGCACTGGCTCAGGGGTTCTTGATCTCTCGACCAGGCCCAGTTAGCTCCCCCACCCCCGGGGTGCCTGGCACCGTCAGGAGATAGTCTGGGGTTGTCACAACTCAGAGGTGCTGTTGGCATCTTAGTGAGCAGAGGCCTGAGTGCTGCTGGGCCCCCCAGAGTGCACAGACAGAACCCCCAAATCACGCAGCTCCAACACCCACAGGGGTGAGAGCCTAGTTCCAGCCCCTGCACCCTCCGCTTCCCTCCCGAGTCCTCACACTTGGTGCCCACCCTTGACTTCTCCCGGACGGCCTGCCCGTGCCATCAGAGATCTGCCCACCGTATTAACAGACCTGGGCCAGCGCCCATGAGGGGTCCTATGAGGTGCCCATGCTGGGGCTGTGGGGTGGGGGGCACAGAACAGAAACTCTGAGGGACAGTCCTAGCCTGCACAGCCCAAGCTGCTCCATGATCACGAAGAGCTCCCAAGAGAGGCCGGCAGTAGGACACCGCAGGCCAGGAAGGCCCGCTCCCTGCTCCCTGCACAGGCCCCTCTCTCACAAATCCTCACCCCCGACAAACCTCCAGTCCCAGGAAAAACATTCCAAACCAGGTATCAATTTCTGGTGTGCTCTGATTTCCGAGTATATTTTCATTTTAACAAGTTACGAATAAGTGTCAGTCGCTCGGTCGTGCCCGACTGTTTGCGACCCCAGGCACTGTAGCGCACCGGGCTCCTCTGTCCATGGAGACTCTCCAGGCCAGAATACTGGAGCAGGTCAGCCATTCCCTTCTCTGGGGGATCATCCCGACCCAAGGATAGAACCTGGGTCTCCCGCCTTGCAGGCGGATTCTTTACCAGCTCAGCCACCAGGGAAGCCTAAATTACGAATACTTCAGGCAGAGACGGACTCTGAGCTGCCCAAGCCTGGACACCAGCCGCGCGGTGTAGCAAAAGGGCTGGGCTCGGGGTGCGGGTGGCTCGGGTGCACCGCTGGTCCCGGCAGCAGAGAGCCAGAGAGGACACGGCAGTGGGGGATCAGGAGCAGCTCACGAAGAAGCCACTTCTGAAACAAACACGTACCTGACAGTTGTTTCTGGCTTCGAAGTCGCTTTTTCCTGAGCGTTTCTCTTGATTGAGCCTCTGGTAGCTCTCCCTGAGCAGGTAGCAGACCAGCCACTCGTATGCCGCCAGCGGGACTTCAGAGTGAGAGACAGAGAGACACGTGAGTGCAGGGCCTCAACCCTCATGCTGAGTGAGAGAGACAGGGCCAGTTCACAGACCTGGAATCTGCGCCCCGGGGACGAGGGCTGCCCACCCGACTCCCACCCCTCGGTGGTGGTCAGGCTGAGACAGGCAGAGGGGGAGGGCGTTTCCTGGCTCTGCTGTGAGGCCGGCCCGAGTTCTACACGGTTCCAGCGACCAGAGTCCACGAGGTCACAGAGCCCCTTCTGGGGTCGCTGTCGTTCAGTAGAAAAGTCACGTCCGACTCTTTGTGACCCCGTGGCTCCTCCATCCTCCATTGCCTCCCAGAATTTACTCAAGCTCGTGTTCATTGAGTCGGTGACGCCATCCAACCATCTTATCCTCTGTCGTCCCCTTCTCCTCCCACCTTCCGTCTTTCCCAGCATCAGGGTCTTTTCCAGTGAGTCGGTTCTTTGCATCAGGTGGCCAAAGTATTGGAGCTTCAGCTTCAGCATCAGTCCTACCAATGAATATTCAGGACTGATTTCCTTTAGGATGGACTGGTTGGATCTCCTTGTAGTCCAAGGGACTCTGAAGAGGCTTCTCCAGCACCTCGGCTCGAAAGTATCAATTCTTCAACACTCAGCCTTCTTTATGGTCTTTTGGGGGTAACCACCTCATTCACGATGAGGATACACAGTCCAGATGAAACTCAGGCCTGCACGACGTCAGGGCGACTTTCTGGCAGGTGGTGGAGGAGTGGTGCTCTGTCCACCTGGCCGGCCAGGCCCTGGGCCTCACATCAGCTCTGCTGAGACCTCACCCCCTCCTCCGGCCCTCAGGGGAGAGGAGAGGAAGCTGCTGACAGGGGTGCGGATGGACAGGGACCAGCTGGAAGGGGATAGAGGGAGACCCCCACCCTCCCAGCCCATCCCAGGGCTGTGCCTGCCTCTGTGGGTCCTTCTGTCATCACACCTCACGGGTTCCCAGGACGTGCGTGATTCAGAACACCCAGCCCGGCAGGGCTGTTCCTGCCCCCTCCAGTGAGGACCAGGGGACAAGGAGGCGCCCGGGCACATGGCGAGGTAGCCGGGCGGGTGTGGGGTCTGAGCTGGCTGTGAGGCTCTGGGTCCATGCGCTCATCTGCTACCCAGGCAGAGGGCCCAGGCCTGTGGGACCTGCAGCTGTCTGGGCTCTGGAGCCGCAGGACCGACCTGAGGGCACTGGGCCTGGACCCAAAGGCTGGACGCAGGGGCCCTGGGACTTCCCCCCGGGTGGCACAGCCTGTTCCCTGGGAGCACATCCCGTGGTACCCACTACTGCAGACCTCCAGCCGTTTCGTGCTGCCGTATCTGCTAACAAACGTCACAGCACAGCTGAGCATTTCATTATCGAGCAAACGCTCCATCTCAGAGGCCTGAGGAGTCGAGGGCTCGGAGGCTGCAAGCAGCCTGACCAGCTCCCACAGCATGTCTCAGGGAGCCTAGCGTGAGGCAGGTTGCGGGGTGTGGACCCTGACACGGGGCACCCCTCCCACAGTTCTGCCAGGTATGGTGAGTGGAATGGGGCCCCCAAAGTCATGTCCATCTCTCGACCCCCTGAACCTGGGAGTGTGCTCTCACTTGGGCAAAGGGTCTTTGGAGAGAGGGCACCTCCTCCTAATACCTTACAGGGAAACGGAGGATCAGAGAGGGTAAGCATCTAGCCCAAGGTCACACAGCTCACTCCAGAGCCTGAGTCCCCAGTTTCTCTGAACACAGGATGCGACGCAACCCCACTGCCCTGTGACCCTCTGACCCACACAGTGGTCAGTGCAGCCAACCCACTTAGTGTTAGTGGCTCAGCTGCGTCGACTCTGCGACCCCACAGACTGTAGCCCACCAGGCTCCTCTGCCCACGGGGATTCTCCAGGCAAGAATGCTGCAGTGGGTTGCCATTTCCTTCTCCAGGGGCTCTTCCCAACCCAGGGATTGGACGCCGGTCTTCTGAATCGTAGGCAGAGTCTTCACCGTCCTAGCTGCCGGGAGAGCCCAGCCAATCCACTGCACTCCAATTAGCTCATATTGTTGCAAGTGAGCCAACGAGAGGAGAGGACTGCGTCTCACGTGATCATGTGATGTGTGGCTCCCCAGCGCTCAGGCCCATTTGTTAAATGCATCCTGGGCGCACACGCATCCACAGCACATAAATCAGAGGCACCGGGTGGAGAGCTGCCCTGCCCCTCCTGCTCCGAATGAACCTTCTAATTCCTTAAGGGAAGAAAAAAATCTCCTGGCCTTGCAGACAGGCCTCGTTCAACCCTGGAAAGGTCCTGCATGTCCCGTCCTACAGAGCCCAGGGTCACATGTCACCCGTGAACTTTCACCAGAGATGCAGCTGAGACGAGGCCTGGCCCGGGGTCTGGGGCTTAAATGACGGAGCACCCTGTGGATGAACGGAGGGCCGCGAGCTTCAGGCTCCCTTCTCCCCGTGGAGAACGTCGTCAGGGTTCCTTCCACGCCAAGCCTTCTCTGCCAGATGAGTTTTGCTTGCGCTCTTCCCTCCAGAAAATGTTTTCACTTGGTTGGAACGAGTGAAAATTAGAGCACTCGCAGGAAAAACAGATGACGCTGCCCTGGCGTCCTTCCTGCCGCTGTGCACAAAACAGCTTCTGCGTCCACAGCGCCAGCGAGCAGGGCGGGGGCGGGGGGTGCGTGGCAGGCCTGGGCCGGGGGTGGACACGGCAGGCCCCGGGACATGTCCGAGAGCTGGCCGACCATGTGTTTACGCTCTGATTTTACCATGGGGGATGGTTTTGTGGGGGGTGGAATTCCGGTGGGGTGGATGTTACTAGAATGATGAGGTCATTTCCTGGGCTTCCTGGAGCAACATCTGGCGGCTCTGGAACCATCAGAAAGACCTTTAGGTGTGTCCCAGCGTCCTCCCAGCTCTTTAAAAAGACAGATGAAGAAGGTGCATCGTCAGAAAAGCTGTAACAAAGGGTGGTGAGGGAACTGAAGCAGTGACAAGCAGAAACGTCTCTGGCTGCTGCTGTCGATGAAAATGGAGGAGAGACCGCTGGGAAATGGGCCCAGCCTGGGTCCCACCCTCGCTCCAGCCCCAGACATGGACTGGGAGGCCGAAGCTCCTCTCCTGGAGACCTGGGCGGCAGTGCAGCTTGACAGGCCCCCCCTCCCCAACACCACACACACACATTCACACACACATGCACACTCACACACACACACCACTCACTCACACACTCTCACACACATTCACACAACCACTCAAACACACTCACACACACACACACCCCCACACACACATTCACATACTCACACACACGCACACATTCACACACACTCACACACACTCCCCACAGCCCACAGCCTGGGATGCTGTGATGGGCCATGTGCCCTTCGGGTACATGGGGGTGGCTCCTTCACCCAGAGGACCGCAGGGGACGCGCACGCTCTGTAAGCCAGGTGCCCTCCTGCCACGCCAAAGGCTCTCTGCTAACAGTCTTGGGGGAACGTACGGCATCTTGACAGCAATTTCTGTGATGAAAGCTGCGGCTGGAGCAGGGTGGGGTGTCGGCACACTGTGGGCTGAGCTGAGCACTGTGCTGGGTGCACCCGCGTGTCCCCGCCCGCATCCTCACCAGCCAGCAGACCGTGCTGTCCCCATCCGGCAGGGCAGGCGGATGGGGGACGCACCCTAAACCCCACAGCGGGTGCGGGTCCAGGAGCGGGCCCAGCACCCTCGATCTCTGGCAGGTGGGCTGCCTTCCCGGCTCCTGGGTGACTGGCCAGAGGGTCAGCTTCTGCCCGCCTATTGGGTGGGGGCATGTGTGCCTGGGGGTCGGGTGGGACCACACAGGGGGCCCCGAGGTGCTTGGCCACAGGAGTTCCGGGCTGCAGAGGGACACACGCTCACTGAAACCCACGAAGGGGGCGGTGAGCACTTCAGGAGGCTACGCTGTGGCGTGAAGCTGCCATGGCTGGCACGGGATTTGACAGAAAGACGCGTGGGCCCTTGGGGGAGGAAGGCGCATCCTTCAGACGTCATTAACACGCGGTGCGGAGGGGAGGGGCTGTGACCACCCCTGCTCTTTCTGTGACGTCTCTCCTTGACCACTCACTGTGAAGTGGGGGGAGGGAGGCGGGTGGGAGCCGGGACTCCAGGGAGCGGGGAGCAAGATCCTTTGTCTCCGTTGTTGGCATCAGCGTGAGACACAGGGAGGTGTCCATGGATGAATCATCAATGGAAGAATGAGGCGGCAAAGCAACAGGCTGCTTCCCGCCAGGCACGACACACCTGGAGACAGGGAAGGGCATTTACCTGAGGAGTCCAGCAAGTCCTCGGGGCTGGAGCCCTCGAACCTCCTGCCGAGAATGTCTGGATAGGCGTCCAGAAAGTCCACGGTCTTCAGGGGGCTCTGGATGCAGGCACCGCCTAGGGGCAGAGCCGGTGACTCCAGGGAGAGCCGAGGACCCCCACCCGGGCGTGTCTGGTGGACAAATCGCCCCTCATCGCCACCCGCCCCAGCCCATCACTTCAGAAGCTGGTCCAGCCCTGTTTGATCATGTGTTTCCTGCCTGCAAACACAGAGTCCATTCTGACAGAAGAGCTGGCTCAGGGGGCCCTGGGAACCCCCTCACCCCGCAGGGCTGCAGGGGCACCAGCCACCTCACCTTGGTCCCGGTGAGCCAGCAGGCCAAGCAGGTAGTTGCTGGTCTGCTGCAGCAGGACGTTGTTGTCACCTTCGTACGTGCAGTTGGGGTCATTGTCGTCTCTGAGGTTGCCCAGACGGTTCACTGCAAGGAGGCGTGCTCATCACTGGGGGTGCGGGCGGGAGAGATGCCCTCACCCCTGCCATCCGGGACTCTGAGGTCAGGTCCCAGGCCCAGTCTGACTGGACGAAGCACCTCCCGCCCTCTCCAGGCCCAGCTCCGCCCCCAGCCAGCAGCGCGCCCTATCCATCCGGTTGCTCCCTCTTCAAGGACACACTGGGAACACCTGCAAGGCTCCCGGGAAGCACCCACTGCCACCGGCATCCTGTGACCATCATGAGTCTCACGGATCGCCTGGCAAAGCCCCCTCCGGGGGGCCCACTGACGGAGCGGACTAGCTGGGCGGGCGCCCTTCTTCCTCATACAACTAAAGGCACCCTTCTCTTTACATGCAACGTCTCAAATATCTGAAGACAGTGCTTCTTTTTCTCTTGCCTTTCCTACCAGTGAAATAACCCAACTCCTTCATAGATTTCATAAGATTCTTCCCAGACCCTCCCCACCTGGGTCTCCGGCATATTAACAGAATGTTCTCCAGATGTGAGGCTGAGATGGAGGAATGGGTAGGATGCCCAACTTCTCACACTCACATACTGCTATGGACAGCCCAAGAGGGTGTTAAGGTGCTCCATAGCAGATACGAGGTTTGTGGTCACCTGTGACACCCTGATCGTCTTCCGCTGACTTGCTGCCCTGTGCCACAGTTAGAGCACCGAACATGAAGATCTCAGAGCGACCTTAGAGAGATGACTAGAAACTGATATTCAAATCTAGATAAAGGGCTTTACATTTATCCCTGAGTTTGGCCACACTGGATTCAGCCCAGAAGGAATTATGTGATGACACTTGATTCAGTCATTTCTGCTGTCTGCGGGCTTCATGATTCAAGCTCCTCATTCTAAACTATTTATAGCGTCTCTATGAGCTATAACAACAAACAAAAACTACAAAGAACACTGCACAGAAGACAAAACACACGGGTGAGTAACTTCTGCGGCGCCATGGTTACCCACACGTCAGTAACGCAGAGAGTCCATCCGGCTGCTCCCTCTTCAAGGACACACTGGGAACACCTGCAAGGCTCCCGGGAAGCACCCACTGCCACCGGCATCCTGTGACCATCATGAGTCTCACGGATCGCCTGGCAAAGCCCCCTCCGGGGGGCCCACTGACGGAGCGGACTAGCTGGGCGGGCGCCCTTCTTCCTCATACAACTAAAGGCACCCTTCTCTTTACATGCGACGTCTCAAATATCTGAAGACAGTGCTTCTTTTTCTCTTGCCTTTCCTACCAGTGAAATAACCCAACTCTTTCATAGATTTCATAAGATTCTTCCCAGACCCTCCCCACCTGGGTCTCCAGCATATTAACAGAATGTTCTCCAGATGTGAGGCTGAGATGGAGGAATGGGTAGGACGCCCAACTTCTCACACTCACATACTGCTATGGACAGCCCAAGAGGGTGTTAAGGTGCTCCATAGCAGATACGAGGTTTGTGGTCACCTGTGACACCCTGATCGTCTTCCGCTGACTTGCTGCCCTGTGCCACAGTTAGAGCACCGAACATGAAGATCTCAGAGCGACCTTAGAGAGATGACTAGAAACTGATATTCAAATCTAGATAAAGGGCTTTACATTTATCCCTGAGTTTGGCCACACTGGATTCAGCCCAGAAGGAATTATGTGATGACACTTGATTCGGTCATTTCTGCTGTCTGCGGGCTTCATGATTCAAGCTCCTCATTCTAAACTATTTATAGCGTCTCTATGAGCTATAACAACAAACAAAAACTACAAAGAACACTGCACAGAAGACAAAACACACGGGTGAGTAACTTCTGCGGCGCCATGGTTACCCACACGTCAGTAACGCAGAGAGTGGAGAAGTCGAGGGCCCCCCCGCCTGCCCCCCACCGCACGAGGAGTAACTGGGACGCATCTTCACCGAAAGCACACAGCTATCTCCAGAGTGTCGCCGAGATGCTCAGACTCAACCGGTGCCTAAAAGACTCCAAAGGAATAAACCGTCAGGAAGGTCTCTGCCAATTCTTCTGCCGTCTCATCTGAGTCACCAGACTTTACCCATTGGTGACTGAAGGTTGGCACATGGGAAGTTAGGCAGGGAAGCGGCAAATAATAAGGATGATCATAATAATAATGGGCTTTTCTGATGGCTCAGACGGTAAAGAATCGGCCTGCCGTGCAGGAAACCCGGGTTCAATCCCTCTGTCGGGAAAACCTCCTGGAGAAGGGCATGGCTTCCCACTCCAGTATTCTTGCCTGGAGAAGCCCATGGACAGAGGAGCCTGGAGGGCTACAGTCCAAAGAGTTGGACACGACTGAGCAAGTAAGACTTTCACTTTCATAGTAAGAGTAACGGGGCACAGGCCACCTGCCCCACATTCTCTAAGCCCTTCAAGTGTGCTCACCCACTCACTCGCTGCAAGGAGTCCTGTCGTGCCATGCTATCATCAGCCCGCCTTGTGGAGAAGAACACCAAGCAGCAGGCTGCGGGGCAGCTCGCCCTCAGATACGCAGCCAGCGACCAGCAGAGACAGACGAGGCAGGGTCTGGGCCCGGCCTGTCAGTCACCTGCTCTCTGCACCACCCATCAGCTGCTCAAACAGCCGCCAGTAACGACAGAAGTGGATGCTAAGTCTCAGAGTGTCTCATTGGAACAAAACGCGGGGCCAGGGTCCTGCCAAGTCATTAACCAGAAAGTTCCAACTCAGATGAACGGATGATACGCTCTCTTCTGTTCTGGCTTTCGGTCTCCACGCTACCTCGTGACCCCCGGGTTTCAGCCAGGGAGCATCAGGTGGCAGGGAACCGAGGGATGGGATGGGAGAGCAGGGCCCGGCCAAACTGCTCTGGAAAGTTCCAGATGGTAAATGCCGTCTGCAGAGACATCTCAGCTCTGTGGGGGGAGCAGGAACATGGCCACAGGAAGCGTGTAAATGAATGGTCACGGCTATGTGCTGATAAACCATTATTTACAAAAATCTTTATCCACAGAAATAGCCTTTGGCCCACAGGCTGTCGTGTGCTGACCCCTGGCTGTGTGCTGACCCCTGGTTGATCGTGTGCTGACCCCTGGCCATGTGCTGACTCCTGGTCATGCACTGACCCCTGGTTGGTCATGTGCTGACCCCTGGCCATGTATCGATCCCAGTCATATGCTGACCCCTGGCCGTGCGCTGACCCCTGGTTGGCTGTGCGCTGAACCCTGGTGGTTGTGCGCTGATCCCTGGCTGTGCGTTGTTCCCTGGTTGGTCGTGTGCTGACCCCTGGTTGGCCGTGCACTGACCCCCTGGTTGGTTGTGTGCTGACCCCTTGTTGGCCGTGCGCTGACCCCTGGCTGTGTGCTGACCCCTGGTTGATCGTGTGCTGACCCCTGGCCATGTGCTGACTCCTGGTCATGCACTGACCCCTGGTTGGTCATGTGCTGACCCCTGGCCATGTATCGATCCCAGTTGTATGCTGACCCCTGGCCGTGCGCTGACCCCTGGTTGGCTGTACACTGACCCCTGGCTGTGCGCTGACCCCTGGCTGTGCACTGACCCCTGGCCGTGCGCTGACCCCTGGTTGGCCGTACACTGACCCCTGGCTGTGCGCTGACCCCTGGTTGGCTGTGCACTGACCCCTGGCTGTGCGCTGACCCCTGGTTGGCTGTGCGCTGACCCCTGGTTGGTCGTGCGCTGACCCCTGGCCGTGTGCTGACCCCCGGTCGGGTGTGAGTCACATGGTAGGGATGAGGACAGAAACCAGCCCACGTGTCTCTGGAACCTACTGGCCAGGTAGCCGTGTCCTCCACACGCCTCGCGGCACTCCTGGATCCCCCGCTGGGCCGTCCACGAGGCCAGGGGCTTGCCGGCCGACGACAAGGCGTGGATCTCGCGTCCCAGCTCTGCCTTGGGAGGGAGAAAAGCCAACAAGATCAGGGGGAAGAGAGGGTCCGACCCCAGAGGTCAGGGGCCGGGCCAAGCTCAGCCTCAAAGGCCTACACCGCCTCCGGTCTCACCCAGGTGGCTGACAACCACTACAGTAGGAGACCCGGTTTTAGCTTAAGAAACGGCTCATCTACGCGTGGATACCCCCCGCTCTAGTCATGCGACTTCCTAGCGCTGAAGATAAACACCTGAAGCTGCTTAGCGGGTAGACCCTGGTGGGAGGTGATCGTGGGAGAACACGCTCATGACTCAGTCTACCCGACGGCTGCTCAGGCTCCAGTGCTTCACGGGCAGACGGGCAGACGAGGAAGAAACCCGAGGGTGGGAGGCAGTGCTCACACGCTGCCCCCAGGGGAGAGGGCAGGGGGCAGCCCCAGAGGGCTGCAAAGCCCTGGCCATTCAGGACCCCCTGTGCAGGCCCCGCTCAGGGTCCCTAGTTTTAACACATCTAGTAAATATTGTTTTACTTCAATGTGATCGTTAGCAGCAACAATTACAAGTAAGACACACCTACACACACCTGCTGAATAAGGTGATGTGCTTTACCGGCATTTTCAGCTTCACAGAAGCGCTACTTTGTAACCCATGCCTGGGTTGAACTACTTTTTCTGAGCTTCAGAAAGAAAAAAAAATAGACCATGGTGACCCTTGAAAACATTACTAGCAGGACAATTCCATTGTCAGCTGGCAAAACTTCAGTGACTCATGTTTGAGGCCAGGGGGAAAATGCATTAGCTCCACATTCCTGATGAAATGGTCCTCGGGGTCACGTCAGCCTGACTGCATGGCTGTGCACCCTGCCAGCCCCCTACCCCTTCACCCTCCGCCTCTTGACGCCTGGGCGTCTATGCTGGATATTCCAAAATGTGCTAATTTGATACAGGCTCTTCAGGGCGTGGTCGGTAAGCCCGCTCTCTGTAGCATTTCTGATGAGTTTTCAGACGCACTTGCACTGTGCCTTTTCGCTCTGCCCAGGAGGCAGCGTGAAGCAGAAAAAAAATCAACGTGTGATTTTTCCATGTGATTCTGAGTCCACCCATGGAAATTACCAGAAGACCCTTTCTGGGCACAGGGGCTGATCTCAGCAGGTCTGCACGCTTGCATCTGGCACAAAGCCACGCCTGTCAGCTCACATCCAGTCAGCTGGATGGAGACCTTTGTGGGGTTGTTTACAAAAGGATCAGAACTGTGAAATCCACAGAGGGGGCCGGTAATGTGGATTTTGCAAAAGCATCCTGTTCCCCAGAGGAGAACAACAGCTGAACTCACAGACGGGAACCAGGAGCCGTGTCAGCATGTCTTCGAGAATGGGGGATGCGGACACTTGCCGACACGGCCCCCATCCCCACGACGGGCTCCAGGAGGACACGCCCAGGGGCCAAGTCGGACGAGCCTGCATCATCCCTGCAGATCCACACACCCAGGTTGTTTTGAAAGAAAGGCTGAGCCTGCCCTGTTCAAATCCAGTGAGATTTAAATGAGGGTGAACACAGCAGAGAAAAGCAGGGGCTCTCACCTGCCTGACGCTCCGGTCTTTCCCCAGGAGGCCTTGCTGAAGGTCCCCCAGATCCAGGAAGAGTGACTTGGAAAAGTGATCCAAGGCGTAGGCGGCGGCCAGGTACGGCAGTAAGCGCCATTGCTGAAACGGACAAATCCCCGCCTGAACACCCGCACATCCTCGGCAAGACGACAGGGCGGGGGCAGCAGGAACCCACCCCCACGGTCCCCATGTTAATGCACAAGGCCCTGCATCTCTCCCGGAGCCCCCCACCTCCCCCCCATGACACCTGCCCCTGATGCCCTTCCAGCACGGCTGGTCTTCCCGGCCATCCCGACAGGCCCACGCAGGGGCAAGCGCCCATGGGCACTGCCCTGCACCGCGCTCTCTGCTGTCCCAGCCACGAGGTCCCTCAGCCAGAGTAAACGTGAACTATGATACAGGGAACTGAGACAGCCATGTCACCGTGCCCAAGCGCGGGGCCGACCTGGCCACGCCTTGCCCTTTGTGATCCTAGGAGGAAGACAGCGACTGCCCCCGAGCCAGGAGGGGAAACAGGCTCCCAGAGGCCGAGGGAGCACGTCTGTTTCACCAGCGCGAGTCCGCTGTTGCCTGGATGGAGGGGGAGGCTGAGAGGACCTGGAAGACAGTCAGCACCACCGCCACCAGCTCCATCGTCCATCATCATCTGCGATCCCTGTGTGCGGTCACCGTGCCCAGGCCTGAACGTGGCTAATCCTTGCAACCACCCACAGAGGGGTGTGATCACCACTCCAACGTGCAAGGCAGAAAACTGGAGCACAGACAGGCTCAGCGCCTCGCCCACGGGCGCACAGCAGGGCGGGGTGGACCTGGGGTCAGAAGCCCACACGTGGGGCTCGGGTGGGCCCTGGTGACCACTGAGGCCAGGCTTCAAGCCCAGGCAGGGGGCGCGCTGTGACCTCACGAGGACTACGGGGTCCAGCGTCGCAGTGGATGCTGCGTGCCAGCCAGGCACAAGCTAGGCATGAGGCTCTTCCTCACTTGCTCATTTGGTATTAAACCAGGTTCGTGGTCCTACTAAGGGTCAAATTCGATCCAATTACAATGTCCTGAAACTCTCACTCAAACATGCCTTTGCTCACACATCGCTGGGCCCAAGACTGGGGCTCGGTCTAGTTGCTGCCTCTGGGGCCCCACCTGTGACCTGGGGACAACTACCAGCCCACTGGTACGCAGGGCAGCTGCGCGGTGGGCATGGAAGGGCTGGGGATACAGAGACACTGGTGGAGGCGCCCTGTGATCAAATGCCACGCCCACCCCCGCCCCGACCAGGCGCCCAGGCGCCCAGGTGATGCTCAGCTCGGGGTGCCCCCCTGCTGTCCGGGGCTGCCTCGACCTTGGAGGACCTGGAGGGGGGAGTGTCCCCTCTGCTAAAGGATGTCATCGTGAACACCGCTGCACACTCAGCCACGGCATCCCAGGATGAACGGGCATGTCAGAGCGCGGCCTGGACACGCAGGACCCTGTAGAAGGGGTGAGCGTGCACACCTGCCCCCCCCGCCCCCCTCCACCGCCTCCTCCAGGCCCCTCATTTCTTTTCAACTAAAGACCATCGTGGAGACCATCTGTGGCCCCCGAGGCCACACTCCTTACGGGTCACCCTGTAACTCCAGAAGAGGCCTGGTCAGCCCCCCATGACCCAGCTGCAGAGGCCTGAGAGAAGCGGCGTGTTTGCACACAGACGGAACGACAGCGAACTCACGCCCGCAGACACTGTACCTGCATCGGGTACTCCAGCACCGGGACTTCCTCCCCATCGGTCGGCCCAAACTGACGCCTGGTGGCTGAGAAGCGCAGAGCGATGGACACGGCCAGCTTCAGGTTCACGACGGACATGGCCACGATGGCGACCCGGCCGAACGCCAGGCTGCCCAGGGACTTGCTGAAGTGCTGCCCCGCGTCCTGTGGAAGAAGAGCGGACGGCGGTGGACCCGGGACCCGCGGGCCACCCCGGGGACGGGCACGGGGGCGGAGGGGCGCGCCTGTCCTCGACCAACACTCCAGGCCCAGCCCCTGGGGCACCCCAGACACAGCCCCCCCTGGGGCTGAGTGGCACGGGGGGCGGGTGCGGTATGCCCATCACAGGACGGTACGGGGGACACCCAGCCCACAGGAGGAAGGGGCCCCGGGCAGACTCGCTATCTGTGCAGACCCACAAGCTGCCACGTGGAGGCAGGAAGCCCTGCTCTCGATCTCACCGAGGACCAGACGCAGCTCTGCCGAGAGCGAGGCTGGAGGCGAGGGCGGAGAACACAACTGGTGCCAACATCTTCTTCGTAAAAAGGGCTCCCACCCCGCTCCCCCGGGATTCCTGCCTCCCTGTCGAGCCACCATCCCAAGGGCTGTGACAGTCATCAGGACAGTCATCCGTTGTTCTCTGTGATCTTTTGTTGTTTGCTGTTGTTCAGCTGCCCAGCCGTGTCCGACTCTTTGTGACCCCATGGATGGCAGCACGCCAGGCCTCCCTGTCCATAACCACCTCCCGGAGTTTACTCAAACTCACGTCCATCGAGTCGGTGATGCCATCCTACCATCTCATCCTCTGTCGGCCCTTTCTCTTCCCGCCCTCAATATTTTCCAACATCAGGGTTTAAAACTAGCAATTGTCTGTGTGCATCTATCTTCAATTTGTTCTAAGTTTCAAGGTGCTTACCATGGTCCCTCATAGCAGCTTGGGTTTCAGGCCCATTGGTGGCGCTTGGGTACATCGGCCTGACAGTCTCACCAAACAACGTGATCATGTGTGCCTGCCTCATCCCGTGCTCCTTCTCCCGCTTCATTTATTTTATTATTCAGGCTTTTCTTCCAAAACTATGTCCACTTTGGTATTTGTGCGGCAGCCTTCCAAGCCCCTGGCCATGAATATTTACTATGTTCTCACGCACGAATGACAGCTTCGCTGAGTTTAGAAGAAGCACGTGTACGGCTGTTTTCCCTCCGTGGTGAGAAGCATCCTCTCCCTGACTGCTTTTGGCCAGAGTCACACCGGGAAAATCGGAGGTCAAGGGGCTTTGACTCCACGGGAGCCGCTCTGCCTCCTGTCCCGGGGAGGGCTCGGGGTCTCCTCTCTGAGGTTCTGGTATTTCTTGACAGTGAGCCTGGGGTGAGAGCCCCGACCCCCTGTATGGGACCCCCGCAGTCGAGATAGTCTTCCTTCCATAATTTTGAGCCCTCTGTCTCCGCTGTTTCTAGGAACTGTCTCTGGGTTCTCTGCATCCCTGCCTGCCGCTTGCTTCACTGAAGTTCAACCCCGCTGGGTCGACCCCCTCCGCTGGCTTCTCTCGTCTGCCTCCACACTTCCGGGCTTCATATCACTGTTTCCTCTTCTGAATGGCCTCCTGTGTCACTTCCAGCCTCTCTCCTGATCAGCAGGTACTTGTCACGTTCACTGAAGCGCTGCTCTTGGCTCCGAGCAGCCTACGTGTGGCGTTGGGTCATCCCGGCCGTGGGTTCAGGACCGGGGGGGCTCAGCCACCCTGACCTGGCCAGGTCTGGAAGGGCCCAGAGCCGGGCCCCTACACGTCCACCCTCA